AGAATTTCTAACCTTAGCGAGTCATTTCTAGTTTAAAAACCAATAAAAACAAAACAAAACAAAACAAAGAATGGTCAGCCCTGTGAGGTCAAGTTTCTCATCACTAGTGGTGTTGAAGTAGAAATTGTGTGTATCATCATGTTGGTTTCTGAATCAGGTGGGTGGTTTGCCTAGATGACCATTAAATGCTCTATATACTCCAAGAATCTTTGATTATATCAAGTAAATTTGGGACTAGAATAAATTCAGTTTGGGAACTAAAATAAGCCCTTAGAATGGATTGCTGTGATTCCAAAAGAGAATATTTGCCCTGTATCTCCAACAACCACCAGTTTGTACCTATGACACAGCCTTAGTTTTTTTGTTTTTGTTTTTGTCTTTGTTTGCTTAAAAGGCACTTGTGTGCCTTTGCACATACCCAAGCTCTGCTCTGCCAGTTCCTTCTGTATGAAATGCAGCCCCATCTTAGCAGAATGTTCACTCACCACTTAAAGACCTATGTCGAAGGGAGTGATTCTCAACTTGGGTGCTTTTGTGATTTTTCCACTTCCCCAAAATGTCACTTGATAAAGTCTGGAGACATTTTTGGTTGTTACAACGCTTGGGCGGGGTGGGAGGGAGGGCGCGGTGGGGAGGTGTTACTGGCATCTAGTGTCCAGGGATTCTGCTAAACATCCTACAACACACAGGACAGCTCCCCAAAACAAAGACTCACCCAACCGAATACTGCCAAGCTTGAGAAACCCTGCTCTAAGTTAGGTGACTTTTGGGCAAAACCTCTGCTCTCTTCCCCACCATCACATAGAGCTTTGTTTAAAACGCTTTGTATCTTCTTTAAAGCACTTGTCACTTTGTCCACTGGGAATGTGGTTTGGAAAGTTTTTAAGCTCTAGACACTCTTAGTATAAAAGAAATAAAGTTGAACTTACTCTGATTGGAAAGGTGAAGAGGTGGGAATAGCTCTCCCTGTCAACCCTAAGGGGGATTCTCGAACCTCCTAACAACAGCACACAGGAGCATTTATTGAGCACTTACTCTACGCTAGGTCCTGTGCCAAAGCTTTACATGGATTGCACAAAGGAGGTATTAATATATATTGATTCATCTTGGTTAACTCTTCTAGGTTCTGTATTGGTTTTTTAAGACTGCCTTAACAAAACATCAAGTCGTTGGATTTTAGGTCCACCCTAATCCAGTATGATCTCATCTTAACTAATTACATCTGCGAAGACCCTATTTCCAAATAAGGTTATATTCTGAAGTTTGGGGTTGCTATGGTTTGAATGTTTGTGTCTTCCCAAAATTCATAGGTTGAAAACTTAATGCCCAGTGTGATGGTATCAGGAGGTGGAGTCTTTGGAGGGCCTCATGAATGAGTTGGAGCCTTCGAGAATCAGATTAGTGCCTTTATAAAAGTGGCCCGAGGGAGATTCCTCGCCCCTTCCACTATGTGAGGACACAGTGAGAAAAGGCCAGTCTGCTCCCTGGAAGAGGGCCTTCACCAGAGCCCTACCATGCTGGCACCATGATCTTCCAGCCTCCAGAACCATGAGAAATACATTTCTGTTGTTTTTAAGCCACCCAGTCTGTGGTACTTTGTTAGAGAAGCCTGATCAGACTCAGACATGAATTTGACAGGGACTCTCTCCAATTCACCACAGTCTGCCCTCCAGACTCCCAAAATTCATGTCCACCTCTTGTGCTGAATACTATTTTCACTTTAAACCTTTTTTTTTTTTTTAAAAAAAAAGCCAAACCCCTCTTCAAATTTCTTTTGCTTAGAGAAAATAGGTACGAATGTAGGTCTTCTGTAAAAATGAAGCATTATAAAGTGAATGTCCGAAAAGCTGAGGATACCTGTAACTCTGTCAGTCTGTTTCTTGACTGAAATTTTAGAAACCTAACAGTTTTCCTTTATTTCATCCCATCTCTGTCCCTTTTAGTCCAGGCTGGCAGTGTCTCTGTTGGTATAAAATGCTCAGAAACCTTATATGCAACTCAATGCTTAGGAGTGAAGGAGGTCCAGGTTATCATTAGTCATTACATTTTACCTAAAGCAGTGCAGAAATACCAGGTCACATCTTCCATACTTTAAAAATCTCCTTAGCAAGATATCTGAATTCATTGCCTCAAGGGCCACTTGCTGTTCAACAACAGAATACAGTTCAGCCAAGTTCTCAGTTCTCTGCCACTTGATAACCAGATTGCCTTTCATCCATGTTTCTCATTTCCGTCTGAATCTTAACCAGGAGCACCTTTATTCATATTTCTAGCAACACTCTGTTCATGACATGTGCATACCATATGGATTCTCTATGGTGATAGAAGCTTTCTCTACAACGCTTCTCATTTTTTTCCTGAGCCTTCCCCAGAAAAGACCAACGGTCTCTTCAGGACAATCTAGGTTTTTTTTGTCATGTGTCTCAAAATTCTTCCAGCCTCTAGACATTACACAATCCCAAAGCTACTTCCACATTTTTAAGTACTTGTTACAGTAGCACCCCTCTTCCCAGTACCAAAATCTGCATTAATTTCCTAGAATTACCAGAAAAAATCACTGCAGACTGCATAGCTTAAAACAAGAGCAATTTATAGTCCCCCTGTTCTGGAGAAGTCCAAAATCAGGGGGTCAGCAGGTCCATGTTCCCTCTCAAGTCTCCAGGGAAGAGTCCTTCCTTGGCTCTTCCACATTTGGGTGGTGTCCGGCTTTCTTTGGTGTCCCTTACCTTGTAGTCGTATCTCTCAAATCTCTGCCTCCATCATCACACAGCTTTCTTTCTTGTGTCTCCATATGTCCTCTCTTCTTATGAGGACACCAGTCATTGGATTTAGGGCCACATTAATCCAGTATGACCTCATCTTTACTAATTATATCTGTAAAGACCCTGTTTACAAAAACAACAAAAAAAAAACATGTCACATTTTGAGGTTCTGGGTGGATATTTTGGGGGAGGCACTATGGGTTCCAAGTAGCAGAGTTTGGAAATCAAAGCACTGAAGTCTGGATCTTTCAAAGACATACCTTCATTATGACCTCTCTGGGTTCTAGCATAGGTCATAGAATGCAATAAAAGAAAATGTTCCCTGGAATTAGCAGTATTCACAATAGCCAAAAGGTAGAAACAATCCAAATGTCTATAGATGAATGAACGGATAAACAGATTGTGGTATATCCATACAATGGAATATCACTCAGCTTTAAAAAAGGAATGAAATTCTGACACATGCTGTAACATGGATGAACCTTGAAAGCACTTAATGACACTAGATTATATACATTAACATGGTAAATGTTGTTATGTATTTTTTACCACAGTGAAATGAAAGAAATATTTGCTGGAAGAATAACTTTGCTCATGTTCAGGACATTTTCATCCCAGATACCTAGAATATCAGTCCTCAGCTTCCAATTCCTTCAAATTCTCACACACATGCCAAAAAAGAACAACAGAATTCATTTATTGAATACTTATTATATACCTGGCACCATGCTAAGTATTTTTCAGGTATTATATTATTTAATGTGCACAACAACAACCTTGTAGTAGATATTGGAATCCCTATTCTATAGATGAGGAAACTAAAGCTCATCGAGGGTACGTAACGTACACAAAGTCACCAGCTAATAAATAGAACTCTGGGGTTTGAACCCAAGTTTTCCGAAGAGCCCAAGCTCTTTATCACTTTCCTATACTTCCTAAAAGCTTTCTCAAACCTGTGAGTCCTATACTTTGAAGATAGGGACAGGAGGCAGCCTCTAGTACAGTGTCCCCAAGCTTCCCCTAGGGAAGATAAGAGCTGAGACTTAAATGGTACCATCTGTTTTGCCTGGAAGGACTTCACACACATCAACTCTAATCCTACGACAGCCTCAGAAGTGAGTGCTATTAAATGTCCTCACTTTATAGAGGAGGACAAGAGGCCCAAGGAGGTTAAGTCCCTCAAGTCACAGAACTGAGTATCAACCCAAAGAAAGTAGACTCGGGGACCTTCTAACCACCTACTTTTCTTTCACTCTGACAGAAAGAAACCCTCTGGTTAATGCCACCAAGAGAATGGTGGCCAGCTATTCCTCTCACCTCATTGGGACCTTATTCCCCTGCTTTGCTTTCTTCTCATGATTGATACGTTTGTGGAACGAATGCATAAATGAGCAAAGGAAAGGCTGCTTGCTGCTTTCAGCTGAGAGTCTCAGCCGAGTCTCAGAGATTCTTCAGCATTAGACTCCCACCAGTTCCTCTGACTTCATTTCTAACTTGTCAAAGTACCCGGGTTCTCTAAGCAAACACGCTCTTAAGCCTCCCATTGACACTTGCAGTTCTTGCACTTTTCATTGTCCGCTTTCATGAATTTTTAGATTTCCTACAGAGCATCTACAAGGACAGGCTTATGTATAGTGAACAAGACACATGAAGGAGGAATAAATTTTCATAAGGCCCCAGGGTGCTTCCTTCTATCTCCTGGTGAATTAGCCTCATCATCTCACGTTCTCCTGAGCGGGAAATCTCAGCTTTATCGGCCTGGATTCAGCTCGCATCCTGCATCTTTGAGCCGTAAAAGTGTTTATGGCTTTTGGCTGGAGGTTAGAGTTGGTGGTGGAAGGCATCCGTCAGTTTGCCCGCCTCAGCACCAGTAGAGTAGAATGGGGAGTCCAGAGAGTCCAGGGGGTCTTAGAGTGTCTGCTGGCATCCGCCTGCCCATCCACTCAGCCACCGCCTAGTTTTTCTGAAGAATCTACAGCATCAGACCCAGTGAGGTTTCCATACTGGGAGTTACTGCACGCGCGCATCTTGGAGCTTCTACATATTCATACGGGAAGCAGAAAGGCCGATGTTAAAGGGGGAGGGGGACAGTAATTCATAAATATTAATAAAGGCAGCCAGCCACCTGCTCCAAGGAAAGCTATGAATGTTAACGAGGGGATGACGCATGAGTCCCGCGCGTGCCTGTGGGCGAGTGCCCGAGCGCGGGCGCGCCCCCAGATCCCGGGCACGAGCGCGGGGAGGGGCGGAGGGCGGGTTGAGGGGAGCTCGCCGCAGCCGCCGCCGCTGCCCCGCTGCTGCCCTGCGCTGAGCTCCGGCTGTTCTGTGGATGGCGGTGTCCCGCTGAGCCCCGGGACTCGCCTCCCTCCGCCAGGATCAGCACAGGTGCAGTCGCGGGGGGCGAACTTTGGTCCGGACCGACCCACAGTCGTGGGTGGGGGTTGGACGGGGTGGTTAAGGAGGCCCCGCGACCCGGGCTTCCCAGTCGGTAGGTCTGGGGGCGCTGCAGCCCCGCACCCTCGACCCGTCCCATCTTGGAATCGGAAAGAAGGATCCGGGAGGCCGGCGCTCTCTGCCCGGCCCTTCGCTGGAGCGCAGCGGGGACGCAGCGCCGGGCTGGGGACGTGGGACGATGGACACTGCCAGCAGCATCAGAGCCTGGGCCCTCAGCCAGGCCTGGTGTGTGTGGGGTGTGTGTGTGGGGTGTGTGTGTGTGTGTGTGTAACTGTGTGCGCGTGTGTACGCGCGCCTGTGTGCATGTGTGTGTGTGAGACTGTGTGTGTGAGAGAGAATGTGCGTGTGTGTGCGTGTGTGTGTGCGCGCGTGTGTGCCCGAGCACGCGGTCTGGGGCCAGGGGGGCAGAGGACGCTGCCTGGTTGTGCTGGAGCAGTGGGTCAGTGCCTCCTCCCAGGACCGTTATCCGGTCTGCCACCTTTAACGCCTCAGAGTCATCTCTGCCCTAAGAACCCACCCCGCCCCCGCCCA